CCCCCCGTCTCCGAAGCCCCCGCCGGTCAGCTGGGGGAAGATATGGGGAAAAATCGCAAAGCGATTTTTCCCCATAGGGAACATCACAATGCGATCGCAAAAGCAATCACAAAATCTTCATCGGTATGCGGATTCGTCATTAAACGGGGCGCCCATTAAGCGAGGCACCACTGTAAATAGTTCACGGGAGAAACTTGAGCTCACTCTAACAACTCCAGAAATGAAATCAGGTGAGACCTCCTAAAATGCAACACAAACAGCTGTCATGATGGGTAACCAACAATTGCTGTTTTTAGAAAAGCATTTTATAAGAGGAAATATTTAATTATGTCTCAGATTTATGCATGAGTACTTTTTCATATCTCAATTTTTGTTTAAGCAGTCTGGGATAGCGCTCCCTGTTTTATAGTCATGATTGAGAATTCTTGGTTTTGGCACAGACATATGCAAGATGAATGAAGATTCATGTGAGATGAACAGACTTATGCACTAGGTGGACCCATTTTTTCTTTTCCTTAACCCCATCCACTCTGTGACCACAAAGTGCTTGAAGTGTGACAAATACTACTAGGCACACTGTGTCTTCAAAGAATCGTAATTTATTGCTGTACTTCTGTGGGACAACAGAGTGGTGCCTCGCTAGACTATAATCCATTCCGCTGAAATCGCTGTTTAGCGAAATCATTGTCTAGTGAAAAACATTTCCTCATTGGAATGCACTGAAACCTGTTTAATGCGTTCCAAAGGGGAAGAATAGTCTTGTCTAGCGAAGATCGGCCATAGGAAAGCCGCGTTGCGAACCGCCGATCAGCTGTTTAAATCGCTGTCTTGCGAAGCTTAGGTCCGAAAACACCTGTTTTGCGAGCACGGAGGGAGCTGTCAAAATCATTGTCTAGCGAAAATTGGTTTGTGATGCAGGGACCAAACACTGTCCAGCGAAACTGAATAGGAATCACTGTTTTGCGAATCACTATAGCGATCGCAAAAAGTCAATGTCTAGCGAAAAACTGTCATGTGGGGTAACTGTCTAGCGAGGCACTACTGTACTGCTTCTGCAAGAATTAATGCCCCCCAACTTTCCTAACACTCTAAATACCTTCTCCAGAGGATTGAAAAATGTTTTGCAGCACGTTTTTGGCACTCAGAGGACAGCAGCAGGAGGGGAGCAGACACTGTTGTATCTTGGTCTTAAGAAGCAACCTTGGTTCTTACAGGTTCTCTCCACTTGATATGCAGTTAACACTATGATATCAAAACAACCACTAGCAGTCTTTAGTCATACAGATACGTTTTTTGGGGTTTTTTTATTTTTATTTTTTATTTTTTGCCAAATTACAGTCTTTAGTCATACAGATACTTTTTTTTTGGCTTATCATACACTTAGACGCATTAGGTGTTCAGCTTTAAGGATAAAAAGATACAGCTATTACCTATAAGTCTAAATGAACTTTTTCTCATACTGTACTTCAAAACTATGAAATTTTATCTTCTCACCTAGCAAATGCAAAATCAAAAACCAGAAACTGCCTGGGAAGAGTTCAATACTGTGGCTTCCTCACATGCTAATCTAACCCCATTCTAATTTGAAGGAAGTATTAAACATAAAATACAGGATGTGAAAGGATGTGAAAAATATGTCATATGACACAACTAGAACAAAATTACCAAGAACAACCCAAATCACCCTGAATAAACTATGGTCATGTTCAGGACCAATTGTAAGCCAGGAGTCCCCAATGCGAAGTGGACAAATATTAAGCAATGTTTTGCTTTCTGAATAGCAAGCAGGTGTGTGTTCTTTCATTTCTTTTTTCAGACTTCAGCTCCCACAACTCTCCAAGAAGTCAGCTGTGATGTTTTCCCCTTTGTGGCCCCGTTTCTTCCAAACACAGAGAGCCCAAGAAGGCAAACCAGACACCTTTTCACACACTGCCACCAGTTGATTCATTAAATCAACATGCTTTGCTTAGGAAAGAAGGTCCATTCATCACTGTTTTTTGAATAAAACAGGCCTATTGGTTACAGACTTTTTTTATTATTATTCATAAGTATTTACTTACTTTTGAATAAAACAGGCTTATTGGTTACAGACTTTTTTATTATTATTCATAAGTATTTACTTCAGGTTTATCAAGCATCAATCTTCTATATTATCTTACAGGTTACTATTCACTCCTCAGATTCCCCCAAACTAACTCTCTAACTCTGACTGAACTCAACTCCTCCTCTCTGGCTCCGCCTTTTAACATCTCTAGTGGCCCCACCTCTCAACCATCTCAGCATAAAACATGAATAATGCATGACTTATTTAACATAATAAGGGTGAAGGCTAATTAAGCCCACAGACATACAACTGCAGACACCTGTATTTTACTTATTTAGAGAAGGGACTATCTTACAGATTTGCAATTAAAGCTATTATCCTATATAGACCTGAGAGGGAGTAAGCCTCTGGTGCAATAACATGACAAAACTTAAATTTTTACTATGCCCCATAAGGAAGAAAACCTACCAAAAGCTTGCAGTAAAACTGACCATTATGTCAACAAAGGGGTGTATTTGCAAGAGGAAATGAGTTTTGGTATGGTATTTACTTCAGTAAAGATTACTGTAGTAACATATTAAATGTTCTCCTCTTCTAATTCACAAGATGGGCCCTCAGGTGAGGAAAGTGTGCTTTTCTGTCACAGAGTAGTTGTGTTGAAGTTTGCACAAGAAATAATTAAAAATGACAAGCAGCAGCAATGCCATGTTGTCTAATCACAAGAAATCTGAAAGTAGTGCAGATTTACCTCTTGCCACATTTTAAGGGGTCTATTTATCAGGGCTCAACCATGAACCTGTGCCAGATGCTAATCAATATTGGGGTTTAATGTGCCATATGTGAGCAAGTGAAGAAAGACAAGTTAATCTGAACATATACCGAATGTTTTCTTTTGCACTTTTTAATCATGCCACCTCTGTGACTAGAACAGAGGTGTTCAGAAGTATGTGGCTTCCAGCAAGCCCAAACCATTGTTCTGGAAACCCTAAATCTAATACTGTATGTAAGAATATATGAACGACTATGTATTAAACTTCTGTCATTTGATACTCAAGAATTGTCACACAGGAGTTGAGACCTTGTACATACATTATGATGCATAACAATAAGAGGGAGCTGGCTTTTCTGCAAACATACAGATTAGAAATGAAATGTGGGAGCAACCATAGCTCCAAAGTTAAGCAGCTACTTTTGTATCTCCAAAGTTAAGCAGCTACTTTTTGATCCAGACTCCGGCCTCAGTGGCTAGAAAACTCCAATTCCTGGGATCCCACAAACCTACACCAGCAGGCAATACTAAGACAGATGGTGTGCATCAAACATTGTCAGCAGTGCATCCAACAGATACATCAGCAGTGCAAGTGTGATTGGAATTTCAACCTCCACTCCAGGTAAAAAAAAAGTGTGAGATTAAGGAGATAAGATTTCACTTCCCAGTGAACACTTGAACCCCAGCAGAAGCTCTAAAGAGACAGATGTTATGTGTCATCTTCCAAAACAGAGGCTAATTACTCCGGTGAGACTAGGTAAGACTGGACTTACCTGGCCAGTGATGCCTGTGATAAGAGCCACTTTCTTGGTGCTCATGTCTGCAGTCTTCTGCAATGGCGCTGCGCTATGTGGGCAAACTGGGTGCTGCTCAGCAAAAGATTTCAGAACCCTAACACACCAGAAGCGCTCCCACGCAGTTATTGCATTAACAGTTATCAGGTACTACTATCCGGCAGTTTAACCATGTTTGATAAGTCTCTCTAGTCAAATCAGCGCTGAATAGCATAGCTTCGGGCTTCCACTTCCTGGCCTCGCTCCTGCGGCTTCTTCTGGGTCCTAAATTCCGTTGGTTTCAATTCAGTATCTTTTCTACGCATGCCTGGCTGGTTCTGCTTTGTTTACATTCATCTCTCTTGAATTGGGCAGTGAAGCGGTATAGAAAGGCAGGTGTCTGGTTGAATCGCTTATGATCTTGTACCCCTCCCACATTCTGGCAACACCTGGCCTTTCTTCTCCCCAACACAGGCCAGAATTAAAGAAGGAGCCTTGTGTTATGAGATGCCTGAAGCATCGGTGATAAAAGCCTCTGAAGCGCCTGCGCAGCGCCCTTTCTTTCTTTCTTTCCCTGTCTTTTTTAACCCTATTTACATCATAGCATGGGAGAAAAGGGGCAGCAGTGGCCCTGTCTTTTTTAAACCCTATTTACATTATAGCATGGGAGAAAAGGGGCAGCAGTGGCAGATTTGGGGAAACAGAGAAATACTTTTTGGCATGTATATGTATGGGTTGGTGTCCTCCCCTCCTTTTTGTTTGTCGTTGTTTTGAATATATTTGTCCTTTTCGCCAGTCGGGTTTTTTTTAATCAGCTTACAGTTTGTATCCAGAATACCACCAAATGCATCATGTTTGTTTGGTTTATTTTCAAATATCATTTACAGTATTTCAGTGTTTTTGCCCTGCTCTCTTGGATTAATGTTCTTATTTGTCTGGCTTGCCAGACTTCTTCCATCTCTTTTATATCCTGGGGTTTTGCTGTCAAAGTTTTTTCATTTAAGCTCATTTGGGCTTTCTCTCTGACTGCAGCTGCTTTAACACCCATATCCTATAAGTGGGAAAATTCAACTATTCTTTGACATTGCAGTTTGTACTACATACTTTCATCCATTATGACACTGCCCTTGCTTTCTGCATCATTACATGCTGTTTTCCATTTTTCAACAGGTGTTTCCTGCGTTTTATTGTGCTGACACCTCCTTCCATATTGAGATCTGCACCCTAAATCTGTATTCTTTTGTAGGACTTCAGTCTAGCCTCAGTTTCAATAGGCACATCTAGCTTGATTTTTTGTTTACTTCAATTCTCCCTCCTACTCCAAGAATATTTTTTGCACTTTTTTCACCCTGCCAAACGGAGAGTTAGAATAGACAAAACCTTTTCCTTTTTTTCTTTTGTATGACTATGGTCCAATTATGTTCACTCACATGGAGTGAGTTCTCCATTTCTGATAGTTGGCACTAGCAGAATTTTAAGCACTTTGAAATATATCTTTTGAGGATTCCCAGGCCCTCATCATCATCCTTGAATGAAGATAGACAAGAATCACTGTGAACACCAAAAGGTGACTTCCACAAGCTTCCTTCTCCAGACTGGTATTAGCTGATTTAAAAAAAACTAGACAAACAGATGGGACCAGACAGACCAGTTCTCAGGTGCCAAAGGTTACAACGGGGAGTGTAGGATCAGTATGTGCCTTTACTGTACTGCCATTGCACAACTCCGGCAGGTATGTCTTTCTGCTACTTGTGGTACCTCATGGACTTAAGAGGGAAAGGTCTCTGTTGTGGACAGAGAAACTGGAGAGGAAAGGCAGACATAAGCTGCACTTGGAGAGGGTGTTCCATTAGACCTGTTGTAACAAGGTGGCTGGGGAAAACACCCAGTAGTCACCAACTGTCGTGTCGCACCTGAGGCGATTTTAACACCATATCCTGGAAGAAAATTCGATAAGGAAAGTCTTTTAACAAGGTTGCCAAGAGCGGGGGGGAAAAAACGTGGCAGCCGTTACAACAGCTGTCGCAAGTCCTGGTGTGCTTCCGTGTTCACGTCAACACTACGGCCCTTTGCTCCTTATCGCCTCCTCGACTATTCTCCTCAAGGTGAAACCAATTCGAATCCACTTCAGGAAAGCAAAGCAGCGCGCGCCTTTTTACAGCTGCAGAGCAACGGGGGAGGGAAAGAAAAGTGGGAACAGCTGGCCGGCTGGTTTCACGCTTTTGTGAAGCACAGATCCGCCAATCCAGCGAAATGCGTTCCTAAAAGGGTCCATTTAAAGGACTGCCCAACCGTCGCGATAAAACAGCAGGGCGGTCCGCAGGTGACTGTTGGTAGACTGATGCGGCGAAGCCGGAATGGTAGCAGAAGAAGCCGAAGGCAGCGCTTGCAACCGGCTTGCAAAGAGGCGGGTTTGGGGAAAAATAAGAAACGACTTCCTGGTTTGCAATGACGCGAAGAAAGAAAGAGGGCCGGCGTCTGGGTTGCAATAGCTGAGCATGGGATACTCAGCGCCCCTGCGATCGGAGGAATTATGTGCAACCTCCCAAAAAGATGGGGCTTGCAGGTTACCTGGCTATTATAAAAGTAGGTCCCAACTTGAAAAAGGTTGTGAACCACCGAATTTGAAGAATCGGTTAAGGGAAGATTTAGAGACACTAAAATACTTAATAACTTGACACATGCTCAGTTTAATTATCATTCATAGTCCATCTTAAAATTCTTTGAAGAGGAAAATAACAGAATTCTACTTTTGTCACAACTAATTAATAATCGATTCTTCACATAATCAACAGCAAAAGCATTCAAAACGTTTACCTCTCCTAATTTTGTCTGGGGAAGGAATACCATAACCTCCAGATAAAGTAGTACAAATATCTTCAATAAATAATGGACAGAAATTATTTGGCACTGAAGAGGTTCTAGAAATATAACTTCTAAAAATAAAATAGGAATGGCCCTAACACTCATTTTTTTATATATCTCAGTTGTATCAGGAAGGTGTTTTGCATCTTCCAAATCACAGCAGTCTCTTATTACAGTTTTACCAACCAACATAAGAATTTTTTTTTAAAAAGTCCACAAATCTCTAGTCAATAGTTAGTGCCTCCTACTTCACCCCATAACATAAGAACAGTCTGGAGATCTATAAATGCACAAGGGTTTACTTAGAAAGAGTTCAATGGAGAAAGGATTTACTTCCTCTGGATCTGAATCTTTTTCTGAATAGGAAAAAGGAAACCATGATCTTACTGTGATTTCCCCCAGTTGAGAAACAGAACTGGCATTATTTACTGGATTATGGTTCAGACTACTAATACTGAGTCTAATTAAAATGTGAAGAATTCTCACATTATTTCATGAAAGCAAAGAGTGCACCTGAAAGACTGTCATATTTCAGAATATGATGATGGAGGAGTTAAGATTGTACATTTGTAAAAATACCAAAGTACTGTTTAGCTATTTCCAGATGCTTGGCATGCCCATATGTCCTTCTGAGGTAAATGTTATACTGACAAAAAGAGAAATGAAGGCAAGTCTCCCCAGAAACCTTTAATAGTAAGCCAAGAGGACACCTCAGTAGGTGCAGCTTTTCTCACCCTTGCGTGACAAGCTGCCCCTGCCAAAATTATTTCTTCTGTGCAAAGATTAAATGTACAGAAGTCCTCGTTTGCAGCTGGTGACTGTGACAGCAACACATTTTGCCTTTCTAGTTGTTAGGCACATGGGAGCACTCCCACATAATTAAAAAATAATTATATGGTCTGTGGGAACCTACAGTATGTATGGGATTCTGTTAAGAGTCACCAGAAGCATTTTTGCATTGTGAGCAGCTTTCATTTCCAGTAATGGTTTGGAGTGAGTAGGTAGTGATAGCATTACTCTGTCCAGAAGTGCTAAAAAAATTAAAAGTGCAGCTTTTAAAGTAAAGTACAAAAAATTAATACAGACTTTAGAATGACTTGCCCATTGCTTCTTTTATTTGTTCAAAAAAAGTTCAATTTTTTTCTAATTTAAATAGATACAATTCCTTTGATTAAGAAGAATGAAAACTGTTCTGATAGAACTGTCTAACATGAAAATCTGTACTTAATTATTGTGGCAAGGATAGGAATAGTTTTAGTAGAGCTCCGAGCAACGCTGAGACTCCTGTCTGCTAGGGTCATATAGCAGGGGGAGTATTTTTTTTATTATTATTTATCAGTCTTATTTCTAGGATGCCTTGCTTCCAACAAGGAGACCCAAGGCAGTTCATGGTACTAAAAAGAATAAAATTAAAAACATAATAATTAATACATTAAAAACCAATTAAACTATAAAACTAATTAAAATGCAGCTGAATAATTTAAAACAGGTAAAACGTTAAAGACTATCCTAACTTTAAAATAGCATTTAGGGACTGAGTCTTGATTGTTAAAAGCCTGCCTGAAAAGACGAATCTCCAGCCCCCCCCCGCAGGGGGGCAGCCTGACCTCCTGAGGGAGAGCATTCCATAACCTGGGAGCTGCCACAGAGAAGGCCATCTCTCCTGCCCCCCTCAGTCATGCACTGGCAGTGGGACCAAGGGGATGGCCTCATCTGATTATCTTTAGTTCCAAGAATGCTTGTATGGAAAGATACACTCCTTCGGGTAGCCTGGACAACAACATGTAGGGATTTATAGGATTTGAATTGGGCCCAGAAACAGACTGGTAGCCAGTACAGTTGTTGTAGCAGGGGCATTATATGTTCCTTCTAACTGGTTTAGGACCTCGATACTTGGTGGAACGCCTTCTCCCGCCAAGAACTACCCGTGTCACTCGCACAAGCCAGGAGGGGAGGCTGAGGAGCCTAACGCCGAGGGAGGCCCGGAAGGAGAAGACAAGAAATCAGGCCTTCTCGGCGGTGGCTCCTCGCCTCTGGAACAACCTACCTCCTGAGATTCGTGCGGCTCCCTCACTGGGTATTTTTAAGAACCAATTAAAAACATGGATGTTTAGGCAGGCCTACCCATCAGATAATTCCTGATGCCTTTTTTCCCGTTTTTTTCTCCCTCTCCTTCAGTTTTCCCATTCTGTTTAGTATTTCTGTTATGTAAAATTGTTTTATATGTATATTTATTGTATGACTTTTTAATGTTGTTAGCCGCCTAGAGTGGTCCTGACATGACCAGATAGGCGGGATATAAATAAAATAAAATAAATAAATAAATACTTTGATTGCAGCATTTTGAACCAGCTGAAGTTTCTGAAACATCTTCAAAAGCAGCCTTATGTAAAGTGTGTTACAGTAATCCAAGCGGGATTTAACTAAGGCATATGTCACTGTAGCCAAATCTGTGCAAAAGCACTCCTGGCCACTGCCAAAACCTGGGTATCTAGGCTCAGGAAGGAATCCAGGAGTACATCCAAGCTGGGAACCTGTGTAAACAGATCCAACACAAGTTGTATCTCTATACGCTCATCTGCTGTCCGATTGACCAGGAGTACCTCTGTCTTTGGAAAGTTTCAATTTCTTTGCCCTCATCCAGCCCATTACTGATA